TCTATGCTTCACTGCTCAAATTTTGCTTAATCAAATGCTAGTCTCCTTCGATTTAGTGATTTGTGAATTGGTTTAACATTCTGATTCAGCACTGAGCAACCTCTAATTACAATGATTTATGTCTTTGTGGTTGATTTTCTTTGACAAAGTTAGAAACTTTAACTAGCCATCAATAGTTAATGGATCCATAAACTAAGTAAATTCATTTCATGCAATGATTTATGTCTCTGTGGTTGTTTTTCTTTGACAAAGTTAGAAACTTTAATCAGCCATCAATAGTTAATGGATCCATAAACTAAGTTAATTCATTTCATGGCAATGATTTATGTCTCTGTGGTTGTTTTTCTTTGACAAAGTTTGAAACTTTAATCAGCCATCAATAGTTAATGGATCCATAAACTAAGTTAATTCATTTCATGGCAATGATTTATGTCTCTGTGGTTGTTTTTCTTTGACAAAGTTAGAAACTTTAATCAGCCATCAATAGTTAATGGATCCATAAACTAAGTTAATTCATTTCATGGCAATGATTTATGTCTCTGTGGTTGTTTTTCTTTGACAAAGTTTGAAACTTTAATCAGCCATCAATAGTTAATGGATCCTTAAGCTAAAGCCAATTCATAGTTTGTTTCTTCTCTGAAGCTGTTTGTGGTCAAATGTGTTTATAGGCAAGACAAGCGCTGAGAGCTCTGAAGGCGGTGGTGAGGATTCAGGCGATATTCCGTGGGAGGCAAGTCCGGAAACAAGCAGATGTGACACTAAGGTGTATGCAAGCTCTTGTTCGAGTCCAAGCTCGTGTACGAGCTCACTGCAACAGGGCACCTTCAGATGAACAAGAGTTGCAGAAACCATCTGAGCAAAAAGATGATCCTGCAAAGCAAGCTGAGGTAATGACTGATTTATCAGACATGAATTTATAAGATCAAATGAGACTTGTTGGAGACTAAATGCAAATACTTTTTTGTAATGATGTTTGTTTAGAAGGGTTGGTGTGATAGCCCGGGAAGTATAAATGAAGTGAGAACTAAGTTACAGATGAGACAAGAAGGAGCTCTTAAGAGGGAGAGAGCTATGGTGTATGCACTCACACACCAGGTAACATATTCACATATTTTTGAGAATGTAATCTCTCAGAGACGTTTGTGTTGATTGAGTTTCTCAAAATTTTACACAGCCAAGGACGTGTCCAAGTCCAAACGTGAAGGTGAACAAACAAGGGAGTGTTAAGAAGAATCAAGGGTCGTGTAAGAGCAGTCCAGGATGGAACTGGCTTGACAGATGGGTTGCAGACAGGCCATGGGAAGGTCGGTTGATGGACTCATCAGACAATGCAAGGAAAAGTGAGAGCAGTGTGTCTGAACATGACGCAGTTCAAGTCAGGAAGAACAATCTCTCAACCAGAGTGATGGCTAGACCTCCTCCTCCGGTGTCGTCATCTGCCACGAGTTCTGAGTCTTCGTCGACATCTCAGTCCCCAGTTCCTTACTCTGGAAGTTTCCTTGAGGAAGGAGGGTACTACAGAAAGCCGAGCTACATGAGCCTGACACAATCTATCAAAGCTAAGCAGAGACGATCTCCTTCTTCATCCTCTTGTTCCAAAACACCGTTTGAGAAGAAACAGTCCATGTCTTTCAACGGAGATGTAAATTTAAGGCGTAGTGGTGGTTCGGATCCATCAAGCAACCAGTGGACTGATCTATATCCACCGGCTCAAGTAACAGGGAGGCATATGTGGGCAAAGAGCCAGCGAGGCTAATTAAATCTTTAGGTGTTTCGACAGCCTGTTGGTTCCAAGAACACATACACGGATTAATAGATAGACGAGCAATTTCTGTGTATCTTTTACATATGAATGTTAAGGAATTAGTTTGAAGTCTGCAATGTTGTTGTTTGGCCACTTTGATCATTTAATGTTAACTTCTAATGTTTCTGAGACAATCTGTTCTTATCTCTAGTCAATATGAAACCAAAGATCAAAAGCTTCACCAGCACTAATAACATAGTTTACAAATTTGTTCTGATACAGAAATAACAATACATGATAATCAACTGTGTTATTGCTTAAGTGGAGCTTTCTTCTCACGATCTGCAATTCTGGCAGGAGCGTTTGAATGTGCCTTGAACCGTCCCCTTCCTCCTTCCTCTGTCTCCTGAATATTCAACATTTGATGTTAGTACTCTCATCATGAGACAGGGATCAGAAAAATGTGTGTGCTTATGTACCTTTTTCTTGACGATTTGAACAACATCTTCATCCTCAAGACGATGAGCAAGACCACAATGTTGAGGGTAGTGCCTGGCGCTTGTTCCCCAAACCAGTGCGTACTTCATATCTTTCACCAGAGTCCTATGTACGTGGTTACAGAAGTCTTCCACTGTGCAGCCACCTCTGTCCTGAGGCATGACACAAGCAAATGATCAAATATAAACAACAACAGAGGTTATTGTGAAGTAAGACAGAAAAAAATCATATATTTAAATCTGCAAGACAAGTGTCATTTACTTACAGCAGAGAGGACAAAGGGTTCATCAAAATCTGGTTGCTGGCCTTGAGGCTTTGAGTAAACTCTCACAAGTCCCATTTCGTCCCACATTCTTGCAAGTAGTCTGTCTAAGTTTAGCTGTTTCAAGCAACACACAATCATTCACCATCAGACCAGTGTGTTCCAGTATACAGATTCATTATGACGAAGCTAACACTGTGCTGGATCGGATTTCCAGCTTCTGCCATTCTTGAAGACCAAGAGAAACATGAACTTGCCTTAAGATTGCAGCTTATAACGATGGAATTTGGCTGGCGTGCAAGCCTATCAACGTCATCGATTCCAACAACATCTATCTTGTTGTAGACATATACACACTTTATATATCTGCGGTTTCCTTCAATGACGTCTATAAAGTCATCCACTGTAGCATCTTCACGAAACAGAACCTGCAAGATTCATTAACGAACTTATTAGAGATCTCACAACAAAATTTCTCATTATACTCCTAGCAGTAAGGAATGATTATCGCTGAGGATGGAGTGACAAGATTGAAGTTGGAGTGATTATAATATACCTCAGCATTGTGGATCTTGTATTCATGAAGAATTTGATAACAGAGCTTCTCATCAATGCGAGTCAATGGTGCTGTAGTGTTGAAAGAAATCCCACCGCTCTTCTTCTTCTTAAAGTATATCTGTTACAACACAAGTGGTAAGCACATTAAGCTGGTGAAGCATTCTCTCAAAAGGCCAAAGCCTTTGCCAAATCACAGAAGAAGGGTTTTGGGTTTTCAAGAGTTAGAGTTTAGCTTTACCTGAGGAGGTCTTTTGTTTAAACGTAGACCCACTGCTTCAAGTTCCTTAGTCAGTATCTGCCTATGACCTTCACTCTAAAAAGTTTTTGAAATAAGAAATAGAGATTAAGGAACAGAACACAGAAACAGCAAAAAGGAAAGACAAAACCGCTAAAACCAAAACTCTTACCTTTGAGGCATCAAGAACCATCAACACAAGGTCTGAAGACTTTGCAACAGCAATAACCTTGAGAAACAAACAGTTTCAACATAAGTTCATTTCATAGCATTCCTTAATATTTCCGTTCGAGAAGAAAATGATTAAGAATAAAGTATATTTAAACCTGCCTCCCTCTCCCCTTTCCTTCTGAAGCACCTTCAATAATCCCAGGAAGATCAAGCAACTGGATCTTGGTGTCATTGTAGCGAATGATTCCAGGGATGCATGTAAGCGTTGTAAATTCATAAGAGGCTGCTTCAGAATGTGTGCCAGTTAACATCGTCAAAAGCGTCGACTTTCCAACACTGCAAATTTACAGTCACAAACACACACAAAATTAGGCAACCGAAGAGTAGACTCTAAAGTTGTAACAAATAAATGGATGCGTGTGAGTAACCTTGGAAAGCCTATAAGTGCAACACGTCCATGACCATACTTTGTAACTTCAAAACCATCTCCACCTCCACTAGAACCCTATTAAGACGATATAAGAAAAACGCTCAGAAAATTTGAAGAAATGATATAGAATCTGATACTCTGCAATTTGATCATAAGAAGTTGCATTACTTTTGGAGGCTCTAAGAGTTGTGTTCTGAGCTTTGCAATCTTTGCTTTGAGCTGACCAAGATGATACTCTGTCCATCAAGTTGGAACATTACTTTCATTAGCTGACCATTTCTTCTGCTTCTTTTCCAGAAAATATCATTCAAGAAATGGAACAGAGTTGAAAACTTGTCATAGTGAAAATCAAATGATGAGTCTCATGTCTCTCTATATCTATATACATGTTATATAATGTAAAGAGAAACCTGTAGCTTTGTTCTTCTGCGTCCGAGCCATCTCGGCTTCAATTTCTTTAATCCTTTCAACGATCCCCATCTTCTTTCAGACTTTGCTTCTATGAATTGAGATATCTTCACTTGTTTCAGCATATAAAAAAAAAGAATAATCAAACATATAAAAAGGCAATTCATAAATTTAGCAAGAAACAGCATAAATCATGACTCACCTCTAATTATTCGTACTAAAACAGAGCGATGTGTTAACAAATTTAGCAAGAAACAACACAAAAATAGAAGCTTTTGCATGAAAAGATGGGAAATTTGATGAGTGATGGCGATGGAAAGATGGTTCTAGAGAAAGCGAGAAAGATACACATGTAAGTCTGGGTCAAGAAGAGAAACCGTAGCCAGAGGAGTTATGGATCCAAATTACAGAAGGCCCAATTCAGGTTTATAACTTCGATTATGGATATTATAAAGAAACACTTCATACCAAATTCAAGATACAGAGACACTGCTTTATAGTTTCTGTCATATATAACTCACAAACTTCCTTAGAAAAAAGTAGTTACGAGTCTACTACAGAAACAGTTCTCTATCTCACATTTCTCGTCTCCCTTACTTAAGTTTCTATTTTACAAAACTCAGAAATTGGATCTTGTTTCCCTTTTTTTCACCGGGTAGGAACCAGTGATTGCTTCTCTGCGAGCTCCCTTACTTGCAACAGAATCGACATAGGAATGTGCATGGACCCATGTTTCTTGAGACTTCCCTGGAAACACAGCAACATATATTCATAACCTCATTCAGGTTCTTGTCAAAGGGTTAAGAGAGAGAGAGAGAGAGAGAGTTACCATATTGTTTGATGGGCTTTGAGCAAAGCTTGCTCTTAGAAGATTTCGCCATTTGTCCTGAAGACAACAACAAGGTTAAACCAAAGCATTGGAGTGATAGGATTATGACAAAGAGGGGTTAAAGAGTTGAGTTACCTTGAGATCTACAGAGGTACGGTATGAATGAGATGAAAAGGAAAGCTTTTTGATTTCAGACCACTTCCCAGCTCCATACTTGGATACACCTTCGACCAGTTTTGTAACCTCAGAGAGAGTCCAAGCTCGATGATGCTTCCTTCTAAGCCCAGCACCTTGCATGATTGGCACATTGACGTTACTGTTGTCATCTGAGCTGTTTCCAGATGAGTCCATGTACTCTGGCTCCATGTCTTGATCAACTTCACTCAGAATATGCTCCTCATTGTTATTGTGACTTGTAGCAAACTGCATTTGCAAACCAATAATGCAAATGTATCATATTTTGGAACACCAAATTCTTCTAAAATATTAGGTATACAGTGAATAAAATCTTTTTGACGTAAAGAACAAAAGAAATAAGTAGACTTTACCACTGAGCCTCGGTTCACAACATCACTGTTTAACTGAGATGGGTTTAGATTCAGGTTACTGTCTCCTGCACTAGCCTTGGCTTCCAAGCAACTGGAATGAGATTCCTACACAATGTTGAATTAATCCTTCATACACAAGTCTAAGAGATGATCTTGTGTTTCTTGAGATATAATTTGGAATGTAGTACTAAGGCACATATATGTAAAATAAGCCAGATGATTGCAAGTTATGTCAGCTCAATGGGAAGAATAAGTATGAAAGAGAAATACCATAAGAGCCATAATGTTCTCTCTTGGGCGGCTTCTCCGGACATGAGAAACAAAAGGAACCTCAATTTCAGATCCAGCAAGGGACACCATCCTGGTGACAGTAACTCTCTTCCCTGAGGAGACACTAATAGACCTGACCTCAGATTTTTCAGATAGCCTCTGATCTTTTGAAGAAGGAAGCACTACTGACTTGTTGTCATTTTGCTGTTTTTCATCAGTTTCTGAGAGTTCCTCAATGTATCTTTTTGTAGGTTTCCTAACTCTCTTTGCAGCCCTCTCTTCAGAGGAAAATTCCTCACCAGCACAATAGTGGTTGCCTCTGAGACTATGGCCAGAAGGATTTGTGGCTCTTACCTCATCACTCATATCAGTGGACTTCTCTTGATTTGCAACTAGCTTCTTATCTTTAATTGTCAGGTTCGTTGTTGGTACATCACAGGAGTTGGTAAGTCCCATTGTGATCCTCCTTTTGAGCCAGGTCTTGTCCTTAACAGTCGTGTCACGGCCAAACGTTGCCCTGAAGGTTTCTTGCAGTGCTTTGATCGGTAGATTATCCAAACATATCTCGCCTCTAACTAAGGAGAAATCAGGCTTTTGAGAAGCAGCAGCAGGAGATTCAGTTTCTCTCGGACTATCTGCTGCGTTTGAGTATGCTTCAGCCTTATTGCATTCATTCTGAACATCTGATGAGATAGGAGTGGGTTCCTGCAGCAAAGCTTCATCATTAAACAAGTTGTTTTCATTAGAAGAAAACTGGATGTTCGCATCCGGAGGAGTTGAAAGCAGCTGAGATCCATGAATCA